TTGTGAGCAAGAACATGACACTTTCAAAAATAACTGGTGAAACTGAACAATCTGCCTTCTTTGACACTTCAGTATTGCAATTCCATTCAGTTTGTGGCGTGTTTTTTTTGTGCAGTACTTGAAGCTACACTGTATACATCATTATTCAGACAAAGGAGATTGGGTAAATATTTTTCCTTCAAAGGCATCAATATGATTGGAGAGAATAAAATAACTCATCTTCCCGTGAGTGCTTTCTGCTGGGAACAGAAGCTTCTACGTAGTCTTACATGGTGAATTACAGCTGAGGTGAATTGTCCCAATGGACTATACACCTATCATAATAACTAATATGAAAAACATATTGATCGTGGCCTTAGAAGTCACAGTAATAAAATCAAGGATAACCTTCTGGCTCATAACAGAATAATATTACAGTACATTTTTATAAAGTGCCCTTATTTATCCTTCAGTAAATTAATTCAAATGCAGCAATAAAAAAATAGATTAACGGAACTTAATGAAACGAGAAACAGTCATACCTTTACATCTCCACAAAAGGATTCTTCTGAGCCTGGTACTAAAGCTCAGAGCCTTTCTAAAGATAGTTAAAGAAGTGAATGTCAGAAGTGAGGTTTAATACTGCCTGTGGTTTTGGAGATTTGTGCGATTCCTTCTCTGTTGCTACAACAAGGCTGCAACAACACAAGTGAAGGTGAGGAAGTAAAGAAAATCCAGGCAGTTGCCAGAATAAATTTGTTCAAACACTGTTGCTGTAGCTTCTCAGACGAAGTGTCTACTCTTCTGAGCATCTACTGCCAGAAAACTAATGACCCTGGGAGTGACGGAAAACAAATCAGAAATCTGTATTACTCATATGTTTTAAACTGGCATGAAGTTTGGAATTTCATGTGCTTTGAGAAAGAAATGATCATCTATATCTCAGGGAAGAAATGGAAAATAAAAAAGGTAATAATAGTGATTCTTATTTTTGTGATGAGTTTTAAGTTCATTGCTGGACTCATAGCATAGAAACTATTAGGCAAAAAAAAAGAAGCATCCTGGTAGAAATCTTTTGGATGTGAGAATCAACATCATTATAAATAGCAGACAAACACTGTTCCCTAGGATGGGATTGTGAAATGTCTTATAACTTCACGGAGACAGGAAGAGACTTGACCTTTCCTGGAAGCCCATGACTTCCATAGATTTCAGCGGGAATTTAGGTAGTCAGATCATTGCAGGCACAGGTTTTACTACAGCAAACACAGTTTTTCAAAGATATACTGAGTTTCTCATCGATTCAAATGGAAGCAGCACATCCCATAATATGGTTCAAATGGCTTATCCCCTACCTATTTGAAGCACCTTCATGTATAAGACCCACATATGTTTCTTACAATGCTGGTGCAGCCTGGCAAAGTGCTCCACCTCCTCTGTAGTTCTATCATACGATGTGCCTTAGCTTCCATGAACACATATTAAGAGGATGCCAACCTAGCTCCAGCAGTAAATGCATAAAGCAAATGCATGAGCATGCACTTAATTAAGCACGCAATTAACTGAGTCTTTGCCTGGTCTAGACTTATCTATGTGCCAGTGTGCTGCCAGCAATCCAAAAGGCAAAGGATATCACAGCTGCACAGACCAGGGTGGGGGGAACTGAGAGAGCAGCAAACAAGATGAACGTGGAAATAAATGTTAATTTGTTCAGGAACTGCACAGAAAACGAATCACTTTCCACTGCGCTTTTCCTTTAACTTTGCCACCCCAGCACTGTGAACGAACACAAAAGATTTGCCAGATGCAAATGGATGCATCAGAACTCCTAGTGAAACTAGAAAGAGACTTGCCAGCAACCAGCACTGCCTGCTGAAACACGAACCTTGGATTAGCTGAACTGGCCAGCCCCTGGGTTATTTTCTGTTTACTCTGTTAAGTAGCAACCCAGCCTCATGTGGAATGAGCAAATAGAGAAATGCAAGCCAAGAGTGAGTTACATTTTCCCAGAGAAATGGAAAGCTTTTTGATGGTTAAATACAGTGTTGCACTGGAGTAACACTATATTAAATATTCAGCCAGGCTAAAAGCAGAGGAGTATGCCAAAATCAACATTTCTCCTTCTCGCCCATCCACAGTTAAATAGAGAAATACCATTGTAATTATCTTCTGAAACATCCCTGAGTTACTGTATCTACGGAATTACTATTTTAAAATCACAGTCTGCTATTCTAGTCCTATGAAAAGACCCAAATTTATTCTCCCTTATGTGGGTGGAGTTTCTCTAGCATTTCATTCCTTCCTTCCTAAGTCTCCATCCAAAGAAGCACTCTTCAAAGGACAACACATCCCAAGTGGATAAGTGTAAGCATATTCTAAGTGTTTCTCAATACGTAATTTTGTGGAGCTGCCTATTCACATGTTGCTGGCATTCCATATTTGTTTCCAACTGCTAAACAGTTTCAAATGACAGCTAAAAGTGTATGGACCAGTATTCTAAAGCCACTTTCAAGGCAAGCAATCGCTGGGGCTGCTCCTAAGAAACTGCTACAGTGAAGAGGATAGAAAGTCATCTATTAATGGGTGAGCTGGGCCACGAAACAGCTCGAGAATGCTGGATATAAACCAGGGTAAACACTATGTGTTATTCTTGGATATAACTACCATCCAAGTCACAGAAAATTTCACTTGATGTGAGCCAGCACCCTCAGAGTAGGGAACATTTCAGAGTACCTATGCACTGTCCCAGGCACATTTCTGGCACATAACCCAGTGATGTCTTTGAATGCAAACTGGAAGAAGCAGTAGCTAGCTATAGGTTAACTCTAGATATGCCAATACCAGTGACTGAAGAAAAGAGAAAACAATCTGTCTACCACTTCTCTGAATATTCTACAATTCCATCCCTCACAAAAAAAAATCCTTAAGATGCTTCAGGAAGCCTCTGGAAAAGGTCCCCACCTCTAATACAGGCTAGAGGTCTACAAAGTGAATTCACAGTGGTTCAATATCTGTTAAATTATACAGGCCATTTTGCTTAGGAATGTAGTCATGACATGCAAGCGAGGACAAAAACACAATGGCAGGAAAAATATTCCATGACAACAAATGCTTAAATGAGGGATACTCTAACAATGGACCTGTCTTGCACAGCATTAATCATGGAAGTAGCCTTGGCTGGCTCAGGTCCCTGTGCATTTTCAGAGATATTTATACGAATGCAGATGAGCAAAAGCAGATTATATGTATATTTTAATAGCTTCTACAGATCCAAATACCACTCTACAGTTAAACACATTATTCCTGTTCAAACCCATGATAGGTCTGAGCACAGAGACTGAATGGCCTATTTTCGTAAATATTTCAGCTCTGCCATTTTTAAGTTCACCATGTGCTCATATTGTGATTCATTCTGAGAACCTCTGAGAGCTCCCCCAGAAACCGCACAGAGCTCGTTCTGTGGGTGGAGCCTCCCAAGGCCACGTGGCTCAGCTTTGCTATAGAACATTGCTAATAGTATAATGGCACTCATCAGCGTCTTAAAATTGCTAAGTATTAACAAGCACCTTTAAAAACACTTCACAGGATGATTTCTGTGACTGTAATTTCTTTTCACAGGATGAGTCAGCTGTGTGGACAAAATACCATCTCATTAATTCAGATGCCATATGCTCTAAGAAACACTTCTCTGACATTGGAGAGTTATATGAACTGTTGCTCTGCAAAAGACAGAGAGAGATGCATACTCAATGTCCTGGTCTAAATCCTGAAATTCTGGTTTATTCTTCATTCAGTCCTAACTCTGGCCAAATTTTATTAACCTTATATGGAATTCAGCTTAGCAATGAATTCAGAATTTAGCCATTCTCTGAAATATGAGATAATGGCTTTCATTTCATACCAAATACTACTGATGATCCCTGCCCATGACAGGGGGGTTGGAACTAGCTGATCTTTGAGGTCCCTTCCAACCCAAACCATTCTGTGATTCTATGATTCAACAACTCTGTTTCTTAGAGTAATGGATTCAGAATTTGTTTATAGCTTATTATCAAGTACCCAAATATGACATCCATTATCAATCTTAGTAGTACCTTATTTGAGTACTCCCATCCACATGGGGAATTCCTCTGACACCAGTGGAGCAGGGTGAAGAGAAAGGTGCTACCTACTTTGATTAAGAATGGCCATGGTATTCTGTATTTTGTACACCAGGCATGGATTTAGTGAAGGAACTACCACGCCTGCCACTACCACACAATACTGCCTTATATTATATGATGCATTGTGGTCACAAAGCAGCACAGCCTCATCATAAAATATAGGCTGCAACTGCCCTGGGACAGCTAGTAAAAACACATCACATGCATATGCAAATCTAAGGTCTCGTCTTGATGCTAAGTATGAGTTGTACTGATCTAACAAAACGTCTGGGATAATTTGTTAACTTCTATACATTAATCTTGCCTCTGGATCTAAGTTCAGTTAAAAATACACCTAGGCACAAAAATAGAGTGCTTGTTATTATTAAAACAAATAGAAATCTTTACGGACATTTTCAAAAGATATTTTAGCCATACAGTGCTAAATAGATCAGGTATGCCACAGCAGTGACCAAAACACTTGAAGGTTTACATGGTGTTATATTTCTCTTATATATTTGTGACCCTGAGTCCCTGTAGTGAACCATACTGGCACTTTGATCTTCACATTTTGCAGCATTTACATTCTCTGTGTCTTGAATGAAAGGGGAGGTGGGTGAGAGCACATTGCACTGCATGGAGTATTCTCCACCTGCATCATTCAAACAGTAACACAAGGGAAACAGATGGTTATGGATCATTGCTTGGCAAAGACACTACAGTACTTGATGATACACTTGCTAAGTTTCAGTTAAGAAATTAAGTAAGCAGAAACTGTAGATATTAAATAGAAAAACCAGAAATCTTCTTTAATCATGGTATCTTTTGCCAGAAGATAGCTTCAGGACTTATTAAAGAAGGAGCTAGGAATCTCTTCCCTTAGTTTTCACGTTTCCAAGGCTCTTCTTCAACAACACTGAAGTCTGCAGATTTGCCATTGGTTGCCAGAGTTACCTGCAAGTAATTATCATCAACAACCGACTTAAAGGCCAAGGCACTTTGACAACAAAGTCATGAGTTTTACACGGAAGACCATGATATTTACAGGAATTACATACACCATGTGTTATTATATATAAAAAATCTATTTATTCAGAATTCACAACACTCCCAATTAGTGAGACTCCTGTTCATTTATTATACTGACTAGAAAACATTAGCAGTAGAAAAAGGTTTCATCTTTTCTTTGCCTTTGATGTAGTTGTTTTTTTTAATAAATATTTCAGATTCTACTCCTTTCTATCTCCTATAGATTTCTCTGGATTATTTAAAAAACAGATTTTCTTTTTAATGTAGAAAGTCATATTTTTTCAGTGGAATTCCTTAGCAAAGCAGGAAAGCTGATGCAAGGACATGAAAAATATGCGATGCCAGAATAATCATAGATATATATCTATAAAAACTCACCTACAATGACACCACCTTTAAGGAAACGAAGGAAAAAATATGTTGTGAAAGTATTGTCATCATACCACTATTTCTAACAAAGTAGTGAAAGATTTTGACTATAGTCAGACCAAAAATTGATAGTAATGCTATGTTTGTCTCACACAAAGTACAGCAAAACACCTTGCCTGTAAAGATATGTACTAAAATTTTTTAAGTATGGTAGAAGATCTATAGTGATCTATGAACTCACAGTAAACACTGGTATTAACAAACCCATGCTTCAAGAAAGATAGCTCCAGCTATCTTAAAAAATTTAAAGGAGGTAAAATGTCAATTTAACTTTACAAAAGTGATCTAGATCTTTATAATTGTGAAAGAACCTTTCATTTAATTCTAAATCAATGGCTCACTCTTTAAAAATTTACCTTGTAAATTAACATCCTCAACTTCAAAAGAAAACTAAAAGACAAAGCTGAAATTCTCCAGGCTGGATAAAGTAGATGTATGGAAGCACTGGGAGATGGAAACATGACAAAATAACACTGATTTTTTGAAACAAAGTCAAGCTTTTTCCTTAGATAGTTAAAAGGGGGAAACATGCAAATACAGGAACGAACAGCTTATTCAGAAATGAAAACCACAGTCATGTGAAATATGATAATAAAAAAATACAAAAATATCATGCAATAACCACTCTACCCCCATATAAAGGTAAACTACTTATTAAAAATATACATTGACCATGCAAAATTATAAACTACTAGCGTTATACATGAAATATATCACAGAAAGTAAATAGAAAGGACATGCTAGTAGATTAGCTTTTCCAGATTCTGACCAGAGCTGCAGTGAGCTTTTCAATCCACCAGTGCATTTGACAGGATGAAGAGATGTCTCTCCAGATTTAACAGCTTGCTGTTTTGAAGCCCCAAATCCTATACTCTGTTGTTTTTGCTACTGTTGGGATAACACTTGGGATCTGTAGACCACTTCAACATGATGCAAATGCTTCGCGAATGTCAGCATATATTCATAGTTTATAAAGTAGACTAACATCACATCGTTTTGGCAGCTTGCAGATGGACATACGGACAAGACAAGTGACCTGCTCAAAGTCAGTCTTGTGCTCCATCCCGTAAACCCTGGCTCTTCTCATGAGTTAAAAAGTGTAAAATGAGATTGCAAGCAAAGCAAACCTAAAACAATGAGAAAGGACAAACACTTCTAGTTCATAAATATGCCAAATTTTAATTAAAGGATGTGCTTAAGACGACATACCACATCATTAACCCACGTTTTTGAAGTAAGCTAATGCCTCAACTGAGAGAAATGATACGAGAAACTGAAGGAGAAAAGAAAGTGCAGTACATCAACAGGCTACTACTTTCTGGCTTGTCTTGAATCTCTGTGCAAACCTGAGACTGGAAGGAGATAAAATTATCAGTATTCAGTTCCATGAACTTGATTCAGACTGATATATGGTAGCTGAACTTGTCTTAAACCCACTGAAATTAGCATAGTCTATTTCACTGAAAAACAGTTTTCCAAAAGTCCCAAAAGAAGTTAACCAAAAAAGTGCCTGTATGTGCCAGTGTGCTTATTTTTAATGAAAAAAAGTCCTTTACCAAATGAGATCTTTCTTTTCAGGGAGTTTCTTTTTTCCTTCAAATTTTTATCTCTTCTAAGTCTTTTCCTTTTTTGAGAAATATAAATTAATTGCAATATTTTATTTTGTGTAAGCATGTATTCTCTTTCCATTTCAAAAAAAAAATTATTTAATTTTTCTCATGGAAAAAGAATGGGTCAGAAGAAGAATGGGAGAGCCATATCAGAACAAAATGTTTTCATTTTAAAAAATCATTTTATTAAAAACTTAGAAGATTCAGGGAAAAATTGAGGATAAGATGAAAGTTCGTTCTTTCCTGAATTCAATACTACTTTTCCCCTGGAAATTCAGGTTTGGCCTGACATTATCTAGAAGTAAGCGGTAGAAAAAAAATATTCCACATTTCCAGCCAGGCTGGAGACAGGTGAAAATGATAAATTAGGACTCATATTTTCAATATATATGGTGATCTGCTAATGGACTTAGTGTAGGCATTCACAGTTAGATACTGGCTCAGTTGTGGCAACGGGAAGATGCAACAGAATCTGTTTGGACAAATGGCTAAGGTAGCCTCACTGGCAAATTCACTGTGTCAAAGACAGTGTACAGGATCAGATCACACTATTAATAAATAAGTAAAAAAAACCACTACAAAATGAAAAGTTTCAGCTTGTTTCATTCTCTTTCTCCTCCTTTTCAAAAACTCTTGATTTTAAACTGACCCATCCTAGCAGTGAGTGCTTAGTAAACTTTTAACCACTAACCTCCCCAACTGTTTTCTCATTCAACTGGTGGGTTTTCTCAAGCTCACTTTGCTCTGACAAAAACGTTATTATTACTATTAAAAATCCACGTTAGTTACAGCAAGGACTAAAGAGAAAACATGATGTTTGTGTCTCAATGACTCAGGAACAAGGACAGAAGAAAAGAGTAAGCATGCTGTATGAGTGCAGGAGCATTGTGATGCTAAAGTGCATTCAACATGTTCATCTCTAAATAGCATATCATGGAAGGCAGCCAGCAAATGACACCACCTGCATTTTATTTGCAGCTATCCTCCATTTGAGTTGGCAATTAAGTTCTCTGTTGCCATAGAAAATTAAGTAAATGTCCATAGAAGGTGATGCCATATTCTCTGTGTCTTGGCATATTCCATAATACATGGTATCTTGCCTTTTGATATGTAAACAATGTACATGATTTTTCCCCTCAAATGACAACTTTTAAGAGTGCAAAAAACCATCTTTTGAATTGCTCAAACTCATTGAAAATGTCTGGGGTTCATGGACCTTGTTGTCACATTGTTATTTGCAGAACGATTTGAAAAACACATGCAGGTTAAAAAATAAGACAAAATAAAGCATGCAGTGCTATATACATGTCTCAATATCCATAAATGTGAAAGGTACCTTGCACTCATCTACTATGACTGAGTTGTGAGCTGCAAAAACACATTGGTTTGAGTTGTTTTCCCTATGATTTTTCATGTCGTCATAGATTGATTGAGTCTTGGTCATTTCAATGTCTTCGTGCCCTTTATGATGGGAATCAATGGTGTCAAGTTCTGCCTTGGAAAGGTGGTAGACAATGCCAGCACCAAAAGAATCCCCCACTACATTGACTGACGTTCTCATCCGGTCCCTACAAAACAAGCAAAAGGCAGAGGCTGAATCACATGAGAGGAATAAAAAGTAGGGCATGGCAGCCCTGTTAATGTCACAGTTACTGCATTTATTTCAGAAAGTACAAGGCATCTTTAAAACAGAAAGATGGGAGCTTTCAAGTGAAATTGGAAAAGCTTGCTTTCCCAGGGGACTTGTTCTGATAGGGAGGATGTGCAAACTCCCATGTCCCAGCTGCTCAGACTCATGGATTTTGGCAAGGAATTTGCGCTAGCGACAGAGCCAAACTGCAGAGCTGTGCTTGACTGAGGTCTCCCCAGTGCCTGCTTCTGGAGCTGGAGGTTCCAGTGTCAGGGTGCCAGGCTCACATCATGGCCCGTCGTTTAACCTAGATTTATCAGAGCACTGAACTTAATGCAGCCAGAGAAAAGGATTTTGGATCTGATGAAGTGTTCTCATTTTTGGGACAGATGAATGAATGGCCTCTCTCCCTTTATTCTCAGTGAGGAAATTAAGGGGGAAAAAAAAGCCTGAAATATCTCCATAAGACTCAGGCCATTGAAGGTCCTCTCCTGGCACCATCTTTACAGATGGTCATCAGTTAGCATGGCAGCATGCCCACTCACACTATTGTATGCCAGGGCGCAGCACATAAGCCACCCAAATATAGGTCATGGCCCACCAAACAATGAGCCAGTGACAGGATTTCGGTAATGAGTGCCCCTTGTAGGAGGATGCCAACAGAGGCTCACATGCTTCATCACAAAGAAATGTGCTTATCAGCAGTTCCTGGACAGGGTGCCACTGGACAGACGTGCCACTTTTCTCCTGTCTTGTTTTTAGAGTGTGGCTTTAAAATCTGTCAGCAGTGAACTCATGGTTGTGGATTTTCCCTGACTTCAGAATTCTGCCACAAAACCTGCTCAAAAACCTGCACAAATGGGAGATGGTCTTACAGAGCACTGCAGGACTATGGGCTCCTGCTATCTTTCCTACTGCAAGTAGGCTGCGTTACACATGTTGAAATAATTTACAATATACTTTGCCTCTTCACACCTGAACTAAACATAAGGCTCCTAAAAACCTTCTGCAGAGGGTTGCAATCTAAAGCTATTGCAGCAACTGAGTCCAGCTTTGTCAAATAGGTCAGAGAAGCGATTACACTGATTAATTCTCAGAGGTATGTCCACAAAGACCCATTTACACAAAATAGTCAGGTTGAACAGTGTGGACGTTTGCCAAGTGACAGTAAAGTCACCATGTGAGACCTCATTTCCCATGACAGTGATTAATTCGAAAACACTTTTTCTAGTATTTCTAGTACTTGATTTGTGTGACATCTCCTTTTCCTGTAGAACACTGAGAAAAAAAAAAACATAAACATATAAACCCCAAACTGATAAACATTCATTACACATGCCTATTCACGGCGATACGAGCTTTTGAGCCCTTTTAAACATCTTTGCTTTAAATATCTGTAAATCTGCCTTTTCTAGCTGTGGAACTGTATTCCCTTTCACATTTCTCCTCTCTCTCTCTACATTATCATGCTTACATATTTGGAGTTTGTAGTGCAATATCTTAGTTGAAGCAGTTAATTATTTTTTTTTGTCATCAAAAGAATACCCAGAAGGAAAAAAACTCTCCAATAATCTCCCCAAAAAACAAATAAAACAACCTATAGGAAGAAAACATCTTTCCAGTTCTGCTTCACACAAATGAAATGCTTTAGACAGTTCTCATCCCATGCCTGCGAAGTGTGTTTTAAACCTGGTCAAAATGGCAGAATAGGATAACATGAATTTCCGAGTGTAATTTTTAATTAAGATCCTCAAATTAACTGAACCTGGCAATACAGCTCCACAAAAAGAACATCTGCTTAATTTTTTTTTATATGAATGGTATTAAATTTTGAAAAGATTCACTGATGTCAGACAACGGAGAGATAGTATAGGACATCAGTAAAAACAAGGTGGAGAGAATATCTGATTATAATTGAGGCACAATTCAAATACTGAAAGAGTCACTTGAGGAGATGCTCCAGCCCATATGCATGTACCACTGGCTAAGAGATTCAGTGAGACAAACTGCACGCTGCTGCAGAACACACTGTACTGCGTGCACTGAAGTAGAAAAGTAAGTTCCTTACAACTGAAAGGACAAAGTCTCGACTGTCAGGAACCAACAGCAAATACCACTGACCTCTTTTGGGCCAAAGAACACTCCGAGAAGAACAAAGAAGACTGTGCTTAACTCTTTTGTTAAAAACAATGTTAAAAACAACCAAACAAGTAATTCCAGCTATGCTGGAATGATATAAACGAAATCAATATAGGAAAGCTGCAGTCTAGTAAATGACTTGCACCAACACAGCAACTTCTGCATTGTCCGTAACAGCTTCTGAGAGGAATAACGGGACTGAAAGTCAAAGTTCTCTCTCAAAAGCCAACTCAACATCTGGTAAGAATGGGCTTTGGAATAATTGGGAAGTAATTCTTTATATCCTGATATGAGTTAATGCCTCATTTCCTCAAACTGGCATAAATCAGAAGAACGAGAAGCTTAACGATGTAGATGAAAGGAACAGAAATGAGAAAAACTGAATCAAGCTTCGTTATTATTAACATCATAGTATCTATATAGCATGCAAAAAAAGTTACTCCTGTTCCCTGAAAGCTTGAAAACCCAGTATATCAACCTTACTAGATTATAGAAAGGAGATTGAAATCTTAGCACACCTGCTAAGTCAAAGAGCAAGTGACATGTTTAACTTGCCTTACCTCTTTGTCATTATAGGAGAGAGCTCCTGTTTTCTACAGTTTAACTGGACTTATATAAGGCCCTGTTTATAACATCCAAACATTCACTGGGTCTGAACATTCTGAATTTAGATCTAAGCCAAGGAAAAGAATCAGAACTCAAGCAATCTTCTTCTGAGTTACTGCATGAAGGTTTAAATACCAGATCAGCCATCCAAGCCCATTTTCTCTAATTCCTCTCTCTTCGCTGCAAAATACCACTGTATTTGAGGTTGTGCTATGATATTTACTAAGTCAGTCTCACATCTGGAAAGCAGCCAGCTTCTGGCTAGAGCAAAAGAAGCTGGTTTTATTCCAGCTGTTGGCATAGAATGACTGTCCTATTAAATGTCACTGCTGTGTTGTGCTTATTTTTAAATTGAGAAACTACGAGAGTTGTAAAATCTTGGGAAACCTGCCTGGTGAAAGAGCTCACACTGTGTACGTACGCGTGGGAGGGGAGAAAGTTGAGCAACCTAACCTCTAAATATTGGAGAGGCTTGAGAAGAAATCGATACAGAAACCTTTTGGCTCCAATGTGAAGGAGAGAGTGCCAAGTTTAAGGACAATTATGAGACCCCAGCCAAAATACTATGTTCATCTCTGGGACCTCCAGCATAAGAAGGACATGAAACTATTGCAGCGGGTCCAGAGGAGGGCCACAAAAATCACAGAGCTGGAGCACTTTTCCTATGAAGATGGGCTGAGAGAGTTGGGGTTATTCAGCCTGGAGAAGAGAAGGCTCCGGGAAGACCTTCTAGCAGCCTTCCAGTACTTAAGGGGGGCCTACAAGAAAGCTGGAGACGGACATGTTACAAGGGCATGTAGTGATAGGAGAAAAGGCAATGGATTTAAATGGAAAGAGGGCAGATTTAGATGAGACATAAGGAAGAAATTCTTCACTATGAGGGTGGTGAGGCACTGGAACAGGTTGCCTAGAGACGTTGTGGATGTCCCATCCCTGGAAGTGTTCAAGGCCAGGCTGGATGAGACTTTGAGCAACCTGGTCTAGAGAAAGGTGTCCTTGCCCATGGCAGGGGAGTTGGAACTAGATGATCTTTAAGGTGTCTTCCAATCCAATGATTCTAGGATCTTAAGAAGACAATGTTTGCAAGTAAAGAAAATATCTTTTTATGACTTTTCATTTCCGATATTCCTTAGGTCTGATTTGTGTGCCCAAGAGCATTCTCAAAAGTTAGCTTATGTGTCCTCTCCTAATATCAGTAATGTCAGCAGCATGGTTTTCCACATCTCATTAAATCATCATGGCTACCACAACACGATCATTGGAAGATGGAAAATAAGCTATTAGCTATTGACATATGTTAATTGGCACAACACTTCCACCAACAAACTTTTTTTTAACTTTGCAGCATTAGTGGCATGACACAGAGCTTTTAATCTCCTTTTTCATCTCTTTTCCCTTTTCCTTCTACCTTTCAATTCTGAATCACCCTGCAATTGCACTGCTAATTGTTAGGCCAGAAGGATCCACACCCACTGTTTGTGCTGAAAGGTTCTTTTGCCTGGCATTTATTTTCAAAAGACACCTTGAAATATTTCTTTCAGAATTACTATCCTTCCTATACGTACATTCATCACCGCTACAGCTCCACAGTACAGACATTTTTATTTCCTAAGCAGGATTGGATGAGCCAGCGGTAACAATGCTGCTGAAGTCAAGCCTGAAATGCAATGCCTACTAGTGGATCAGAACTGCTGGTAAACTTACAGCTCTGAGGTTTGCTAGTGTGGGCAGAGCTTCTCAGTCAAGAGGAATATTTTTAAATGACATTTCCCTAAAAAAAACCAAACCAGTTAACCACAGGCTCCTTTTGCACATCCTCCTACCAGCTGCAGAAACGTACCTATTTGCCTTATTTTGAGAGCCAGCAAAAACAGATATTGCAAATGAGTACGCAACCTCCCAGCTGCAGATTCCTATGCCACTTTCCTGTTTTCAACCATGACCTCATAAATGTAAAAAACCCACAGAATATCACACTTTTCCCTACGCCAGCTGTACTCTGACTGCT